CTTCGTTTTTCGAGTTTCCCTCAAATTTTCGGGAACGTAAAAACTTTTATGACATATGCGGTAAGCCAAGAATCGTTTCGCCACTCACCGCAGCATGGCGGCTCGGATGCTTTTCCGAGCACTGAGGAAATTCAAAAACTTCCGTCGATATAATAAATCATCTTCGACCTTTTTTTCGGTACGTTGTTTTTACTTTTATGGTCGGCCTCGCTTTATCCAAGCAACCACTAGTCGATCCTGATTTCGAATCGGAACCCAACCTCTGGTTTCACATTAAAACGGTTTCACAGTTATTTCTCTTTGCCATTTTTTTCTTTATTTGTTACCGTTGGGTGTAAATACGTATTTACATAAAAAAGCACTTACTCGTACAATAATTCATTTTCTGTGCAAAACAGTGGATATAGTTTTTACGTTAGGATTCTTAGGTTCTCAAAAAGGTATGTTTATATATTTTATTGCATCTTTAATGAAATTTAATAAATTGTTTCTGGTAAGAGAATACGAAAAAGTTTTTCTTTCATTTCGTACCCTATAAGATCTATAATGTTTCACTCTAAAAAAGAAATACGTTGATCAGAAAAAATAGAAACATCCATAGCATCGGTCTAATAATCCAGTGGCCCAGAATAATGCTACTGTTAACTTTCCCACAGTTCTCAAGAAAAAAATACTTTTGCGGAATGTCCTTTGATGAATCACCTGCTAACATAACAATCTTACTAACAACATTAATCACCATTAATGACCAATATTAATAATTCTAATATTGTCATTTAATTAATCCAAAAACATTTCAAAAAGCTTTTCTGATACTTAATTATTCTACACTATTCTACACTATTAGTATAAAACTATCTACTACAATTATTCTACACTAGTCCTTTAGATTACATCTGCTTAGTATTTATTTCATATTATAACACATTATTAACATTCTATTATTATTATTCTCATTATTATTGTCATTATTAATATTTCATTTCTTCAAAACAAATGTAGTCCACATCATACGTAAGTGCAATTTTTATTCTTAATCGCTCAGAAGTAGGAATCAGACTATCTTTTGAAACTACATAATTATCTGATGTGTCTAACGATAGATGGATTTATTTCAGACTTTCTCCGAACGTCGGGAAAGGAAATCCGAGAGTTGACGGACATGTTGATGGCGTGGTGCGAGGTGGCGCGGCCCGATGCACCACGGCGTGCGCGCGAGCGCGCGTCGAAAGCACCCCCTGTGGGTCGGTGGCACCCCTACCTCGCGAGAGCCGTTTGTTCGGTTCGGTACGAGTTTACGACCCTGTTGGGCCACAAAATTTACGGTGCCCTCTTAAAAGCGATCCAAACACGTACCGGTCTATTCGGGGCGACGTTCAGGAGCACGACGCGCCTCGCCACGCGCTTTGCCTGCGAGCCAGCCAGGATTCATGCTGCCACCCTTCGACGATCGTGGCCTGACCATCCCTTCTCTGTCATCCTTTAACTTGAAACCTTGCTCGCTTCCTACGCCTTTCACTTCCGAGCTGCCCCCGCGTCTTTGTTACCCTTTTTAACCCCTCGCACTCGGCGTACTTACGTTTCACTTCGGCACGGCTCGTCATTTCCGCCGCGGAGGGGAGAAACGAAGAATTATGATCAAACTTCGGATTTGTATGTATTCGTGGATATAAAGATCTGAAAGTAGAGATCTCGAATGTTGTTAATAACTTGAATTTGCATAGGGATCCAGAGTCTAATTATAGGATAAACGAAAAGGTATTCGAGTGTTTTCTTTTTTTCTACTCCTACAGCAATCAGTGTCCTTAAATTCACACCTATATTAGATAATTATTGTAATTGACGTAGTTCTTCAAATTTATGATTAAGAATATGTAGATAGTATAGAAACAATATTGTAATAAAGTAAATGAATTGTGCATGTGCGTTTTTACTAAAAAATTGAAAGGTTGCGCTGTTCCAAATAGTGAACCACTGAATTTTGTGCAGTGACATAACAGTATTTAAAAATTATGAAATCCACGTTTTCGTGAAGTTTTAGGAGATTATTCATTGTATTTCAGTACGTTCGAAAGAATTTTTTAGATAGTTCTGTAGGATGGTTTGTAACTTGGAAACGTTAGGAACTTATTGTCCAGCTGCCATGATAGATCTTCTATGCGCAAGCTTCTTGTGTGTAATCAAGTTAAAAATTTATATAAAACACTGCCGGATGATCGTGAACGATGCAAGAGCGAAGTGACATGAAACTCGGTTACATAAAATAAATGCATGAACACGCGAACGGGAAGCCCTTCTGCATCTCTGTAGCCGAACTGCCACAGAGGAAGCCCTTTCAAGAAATCTTTACATATGCATGGACCATCAGCGATAC